CTAAAAATGCGGCCTAAGACTCTACGGTGGTGGTGCTGAAGTCTCAGCCCCCGCGCTTCTTGGTAGCACGGTATGATGGCATTGTCATGGGGTAGACCGACCTCAATGAACTGACAGCTGGCAAGGCGCTTGCCAGCGTGGCATCGAAGCATAAGACTCAGATACTATCATTGAAAATATGAGGCTGACGCATAATATCCTGTCGTCTTTCATAGATACGATAGGATGATTATCATGCCAATAGATGATCCGAACATCGAGGAAAGTGATGCTTTCATCGTTGATGACTTGGTAGGTCTGGCACCTCACGGCCTCACTACGCCAGTATTATTGTCCATCAGTTTCGGCAGATGTATACCGCTTTACTGACCGCTGCATTGTCATATTGTCGCGCCTGAGTCCTGATAGAGCACTCCGTACAGCCATCAAATTTACGTCCTATCATCAAGATTGTTACTTTATGGCCTTTGCTGCATTTCTATCTTTGTTTAACTCGCAGTATGAAGTGATCCTCGTTGTCGGTCACGACGAATACCCCTCCATCCCGCGCTGTTTCCAGCTTCTTCACCGCCAGTATGATGTCAGATCTGGATAGAGGAATACGGGAGTTGCTGATAATAAATGTTTTATGATTCAGATTTAAGAAGTGCCGTCAACCCAAGTGGTCTTCTATCAATATAGTCCCAAGTCGTATACCCAAGGCGAGAAGCTCATTTGAGCCCGGGTAACTCCAAGTAGTCAAAGAAAAGTATCATTATGGTCTATTTATACAACCCTCATGCGAATAGTAACCCTCATGCGAATAGTAACCATCAGCTACCTTACAGTCCCTCAATCATCGATCTCATCGCTTCTGTAGTATCCCACAAATGCCCGTTTCAAGAAAGTTTTCCAAACTCGATTTCTGATCTTCTTTCCCTTCGCGTCCTTCATATTTCCGAAGTCGTCACCATCGTTATCAATAGCTCCCGTTTCCGACATCTGATCCTTTGCGGAGGCTTTCTTTGCGATTCGACTGGCCAATTTGAAGTAACTGCGCACAGTGAGATCTTCCAGCTTGTAAATGTCATCCTTCAAAGTGTCGTATTCAACTTCAAAAGTAAAGAGATCTTTGCCTCTCGTCTCATTGACCAAACTGTCAGCCGAGAGACCATGTCGTTCAGAATATTCATTATTGAGCTTCGTAAGATTCGCAAAGTATTGAGTATAACCAAGCCATGTCAATGGCTGGTTCGAGTATGCAGGCCCTGGCGGGGCGGTGGGGGAAGGAGGTTCTGGTACTTTGAAGGACGGCTTCTTCTTCTTCTTCTTCTTTTTCTTGTCCTTCTTCTTCTTTCCTTTCTTCATCTCATCCATATCTGGGTCTTCGATTGACTCAAAATCTGACCGAGGTTCCTTGGCTTTTTCCGTCAACGAAGGTAGGGTATCAGCAGCAACAGAAGTTTCGGCCCAAGGCTTTAGATTTTCGAGTCCGGTTATGTTATACTCGACAATGCGCAAAGTAGGGAAATAGTTTGGAACTACACTGGGTGATACCAGCGATACGCTGTATCGCTCAGCCCAAGGTCCGCCGATCTTTTTCAGAAACTGTCGTCTTTTCTTCTTGGATTTCTCGAGCTGGATATCATCGTCGTCTTCAAATGCCGCTCCCTCTCCGAACCAGTCGTCAAGGGTACTGTTATCCATAGAAAAATCTGGCGGCGGTGACGGCAGCTTGGACCAGTCGTGCCTGAGATCGCTGAGGTACCCTGACCGAGACCGAATGGAGGTGTCGCCGGTAGCATCTTTCAAAGCTTCCGAAGGTGTTCCATTCAGGTCGGCATCGACAATGTTGACATTGTGGTGGTCTTGGAGGATAAAATGGTCGATGTTCATATGACCGTAGACACTGCCGACAATCACGTCCCGATATTGATGCAGCCACAGAGCATATTTCTGCCAGCACGACTCGTCCCAACTCCGTTTGCTATCTGTTCGGGCTGGAGGTACATGTCCGATAAGGATGGCTTTCATTCCTCTTTCGCGCAGCAATTGAAGCTGAACCCGTAGCCATTCCATATGCTCGTATCCCGGCTGAGATTTGGCTTTACACCCGTCGACGGCGGAATTGGAGTCGAAAAAGTACATTGTATTTAGGCTGATGGCCGTCAGTTTGTTTGGGATGACTTCGCTCGTGAACCAGCCGCCCTCCACGAATGTATGGAGCTCATGCTCTGGTATAAACTTGCTCCAGATCTTTTGGAACCTCTTCGTCCATCGATTTGGGCCTTCTCTGAATATATTGTGTGGCATGATGTCGTTGTTTCCAATTGTAGGGACGATGGGGATAGAGAGACCGGTAGGGAATCGCTTGTCTCCGAAAACATCGACGAACTTGTCCGCCAGCATCTCATTCAATCGAAAAACCTCATCCTCTGTTCGAGGAATCTTCTCGTCGTTGTCATGACGGGCAGAGTCTCCAGTCCACAAGACAAAGTCGATATTGCCCTTCAGGTTCTTCTCTATCCAGCTGAAAGTTTCGTTGACTAGGGAGAACGGCGAGTCGCAGTCCGACCCTTCAGCTCCAAAGTATCCTGCCGAACCTTTTCCTCGGTGGCATGGGGCGCCATCGTCGCTAGAACTGCCGGTTTTGTAATGAGGGTCGGGGTGCACGTCTGAACAAAGGGAGACGGAATCAGCATTCCATTTGGAGTTTTCGAACTTCCACCTCTGACACTCGGTAATCTTGAGCCAATTGAATATATCTTACCTGTTATATGGAGAAAACGCCCATGAAGCCTTCGCGATTTTTCCAAATGAATTCCTCCATTAGATTGACTGTTTGATTCTGGGACCACAAGCCCGAGCGGTTGTTGCTCCAAGACGGGCAATGCAGTCACACTGGCAACCAGGATACCCTGCAGAAAAAGAAAGAGGATCATTGGATTGGTACTTTTCTTTCTGCCCTGTGCTGGGGAAGACGTCCCGACGAAGCGGGGAACGATCTTTAATCACCTGTCAGAAAGAACTCCAAACATTGATCATGTATTGGTTCTCAATATTGATGGAGAGAGTAGGAAATTAATGTAGCCCAACGTACCCGTCACCAACGTCACTGATGATGCACGACTGCAGCTGATCAGTCCCAGTGGCACCAACAGCTAATCACCCAATCGGGAAAGGTTTCCATTCGACAGTTTTCGCTGGTTCCGCTTCGTCCTCAACCGTTCTTCGTAAAGCAGTCTGCTTATATTGAGATCTTTTGAAGGCGAGGGCAACATCCTCAATAATAGAGCAAGTGTGATCTTCTTTTTTGTAGATCTTCGCCCCGCCATGACACGCGACATTTGAGACGCATTATCTCGTGACTGTAAGTACACTCTAGTCTCTGCCTATTGGCGTCCCCACGTGGGCTACTGTCAGGGACTGTTTGGTCAGAAGCGAAAGGGTCGAAGGACCTTGCGAGTTGCAGTGAGGCATTCTTGATGAGTAAGGCATTCATCTATCTACAGTCCGCGCAAATCAGTGGTCGCATGTCGATATCTTTAGAAAGCAGATGATCACTTTCTTCGTTTCAATGTTCTATATACTATTTTCACTGCGTCTTCTCGCGCGCTGCGGTAAATCCGCTTAAGCATATTTATAGAGTAATCGTCACAGTAAGGGATACGCATGTAGAACCATACTATCCACCAGAAACATTTCAATTGCGCCGGTACTTTCGAGTCGAGCTCTCCTCTAATGCGCCAGTTCTCATCTGCAATCAAAGCCAACAACTTGAACCATCTTGCCAAACTGGCCGAACTAAGTCCGTGGGCCGATTAAGCTACACAAGGTACGGCGTTACGTAGGGATGGCCGAGGATCGGATCTACGCTTATTTCCTTATCGGGAGTGCGGGGCATCCTGTGGTTGTTGTTGATTGGAAATGGTAAGCTGAGCTTCCCCTCAGTTATCCTACGTTCTGTTTGTGCATGTCGACCTGAGAAGAGCACTGGCCCTCCTCGATCTCTATCTTGTTTGCAACATCCTATTTATTCCGGTCACATTGTATCGCCATGTCTGAGTTTCCTTCTCTCCAGCCTGCTTTCACAGTCCAGGTGAGTAACTAGCAATGATCAGCATGGCGCTGTTCTCGACGGCTAACTATTCTGCTCGGTATAGGTCACAATTGACCCTGGGTTTGCCGTTGGTAAGCTTCTACTGGAAAGGAAATACTGTCCCTACATTTCTAACCTCGTTCAGGCAGTGCCTCTCGTTCCAACAGCCTGCAGGTCGTGGTAAGCCTGCCACAAAGCGAAGTCATTGCACAACATCCATTGCTAACAGACATTACATTGATCAAAGCCTATGACCGGTGGCACTGTCAAGAGTGATCCCGGTTACTCCCTTGCCCTCGATGCTGAGTTCGTCGGTACCGGCAACGATTACATCCATGCGGACCCAGACAACAAGCACTTGCGCTTGAACGCTCACGGAGTCATCAAGTCAGTCTTCATCGGAGATTCTGGCAAATGAATGCACGAGACTGGAGAATGATGCTAACTCGGCACGCGCAGGACCAAGGATGAGGCTGTACGTCACGATATCATTAGCGAAGACTGATGGTGCAAGCTGACGGTGCAACTAACAGTTACTCTACATGAACTACACCGGGGTCGTAACAATGGGGCCCGCCGAACAAGCTGTTTTCTCTGGCAAAGCAGACGACGGCGCGACGGCGTTTGGAAACTCCTTTACTCACTTTACATTTGAGGTGAGATCGCATCCCGCGTATACATACCTTTCCAGACTCTAACAGGACTACAGACCGGTGATGAGCGCTACAAGGAGTTCGAGAACCGAGTGTTCGTCGGGCAGGGCCGGTTCCGGGTCGAGAAGGGTAAGCCCATTGTTGTCGAATACAAGGTCAGCCAGGTCGTCGTGGGTTAGAGCCACTTCGGTCATAAACCTTTATATATTCGAAGATACCTAGCTGGAATGTCGAGCTCTTGGAAGTCTTCCGTTTACACGCCGCATCAGTCAACGCAGTAAAGGCTCCGCCTCAGCCCGGTGACGTTCGTAATCATCCTCTTCTGCGTCTCCAATCCCAGACTTCCCAAGACGAATCCACCAACGCCGTAGCCTCTGTTGAACACACCCCGTAAACCGACCCCATCCACACCCCCGAGCTCCCTTCCCACACTCCCAGAGCCTTCCAAGCAAAGCCACCAATCCAACAAGCGCCAACGTCCCCAGCACCGCCACGCAAGCCGTCAAAAAAGTAATCGTGCTAACATGGCACCCGAACGGCAAGGCCCGCAGCTCCCATCTCTCTTCTGAACCGAGCGGACAGATACTCGACGAGTCGAGAGGCGCTAATATAGGCACCCGCGATCGGTTCGGGACGCATGTTGATGTCTATGTTCGTTAGCATCCGTATATGTATGCTGTATCTATTGCATCTGCTACCGCAATGCTGCGAGTTGATACGTACCACTGCGCACCAGCTACAAGGGGCATCACCTTTCAGACACGCCCCGCACGCCTGTCGGCCCCAGCATATATAGAAAAGAGAATCGTCGCTGAGAGGCAGGACGGTTTCGTTTTCGTTGTCGTTACCGGTTGCGTTTGGTTCTATGCTTGGGTGGGGGAGTAGAGATGAGGCCATTGAGGAATTACGGGACCTGGGTGAGGGACGAAGTTGTACGTAGGACTCTGGCTCTCCCTGGGGTCAGAATGTGATCAGTTGCTGTATTGGGTTTGGAAGCTCGAAGTTCTGGATGTTTGGGACCCTGCTGATGGATGCGGGGCTGACAACCCTGCGTGCCGTGGTTGTCTAGTCAGGTAGGTACTTTTGACCCCTAGTTTATGTCAACAGAGGTGCCCCGAGAATTCATATATATATATTTTCTGGGTGATCTGGTTTCCGACTAAAAAAGCATATTTCATCGCGCTCATCAAAGAACTACAGTCTTATTGCAGGGATGCTAAAGGCCAAACTCTCAGACCGTAAATGCAATCGAAGATCCCAATCATCACCAAGGATATAACTCCATTATTTCGTCTCTGATGTAATCAGACAACACGCTTAACCTAGAACATTGATGTCAGCATAACTCTAGACAAGTCTGTTTTAGTATCGTCACACCCACCTCGAAGAATCTCTTCAGCCACCAGACCTGGAAGATACCCTCCCCAATGAGCACCGCAAGCTGGAAAATGCTCCACCACTTCACTCGGGCGTTTGTGCTCTCCGCTGTGTTTCGATGTACCCGCTCTCTAACGACAATGTACGACTGTTCATCCTTGACCTGAGCCAGAGCCTCCGAGAGTTTACGCACTGCACAAAGAAGCTGTTAGCTGACACTGCCCAGCCGGTGTCCAAAACCCATATGCAATGCTCATACCTTCCGCCTCCAGGGGATCTTGGGCCAATTCATGTTCCGGTACGTAGACGATTCCGTGGACGTTGAAGGACACTTCCTTCGAGTTCGAAGTCCAACCCTCGTTGCTGAAGCAGTAAACGTACTTTCCGTCGGTGTGCGCGGTGAACGAGTAGTCCTCCGATGAGACGGCTTGTCTGAAGTACTGGCGGTTCTTTAGGGGGTCCTCAACCTGTAAAATCCAGCACAACAGTCAGATTAGTAACTCATAAATCCCGTCCATTGCCTCGAGACCGATCCGACAATCAAAATAAATGATCAAGAACAAGCTTGAGTTTCAGGAAGGCCTACCCAGAAATCAATCTCAAGGTTTCCACTGCCACCAAACTCCCTGTCGCCAACTTGGAAGGTAACGGTCATCTTATCATCCTTGTGCAATGTCTCGTGGAAGCATTCTCTCGAGTGTGCCTTGAGCTGGATGTTGTGCCCGGCCACGGCTGTGATCCACCCAAGGGCGGAGATCAGAAGGGTTGTTGTGGAGAAGCGCATTTTGTGTATGACTTCGCTTGCATGCAGAAGACGAAGTTATAATGTGCTAGAGGAGAGGAGTTCGAGAGGAAGTGGTGATGTGCGGCTTGCTCGATGATCTCCGACGCGCAAGGTGTTCTCTCTCAGTCGGAGTTGGAAATTCGAGACGCTCGGACCACCTCCAAGCAAACCGCCGCAGTACTTGTTGATGGCTCTCCACGGACCTTGAACGTAAGCAATTCATTCAATGGTTTATCTAATGTGAGAATTTTCTTTCGGGATTCAAGTCTATTGAAAAGCTCACCTTTAGAAATCAATATTTCCTACCAGCAGAAGCATGATGTATACTGACTACTCCCTTCCCCTCGAAACAAGACCAACTGGTTTATATATAGGAAGTATGCTGTGTAGATTCAGGGGACGTCTCCTTGGCCCATGAAGGAGCTATTCGACTTTCTTGCTACAAATGAAGAGCTTATGTCTTTACACTCAGCAGAAGGGACAACGTGCAGACTCCTGCTGAAAAGTAGAATTTGCTCGTGCCTTCCTCCCAGAGTTGACAATGCTTGCCTTTTATAGAAAGTACCTTACTAGAAAAATCCCGAGACCGAAAGTATCCATACGTCCATGAGTACTTGTAGACAACGGACGCTGAAGCTGCCAGATACCTTATTTGCTACAGCTTCGTTTAATTCCGAACAAAATTGAGCACCAATCGACATGCCGGTCTATGTCGTCGACGGCATACGTTATCGGGTTCCTCTGACCTCCATCTTCAGACCCAGGACGCTGTGCAAAGACTTGCTGGTCATTGATGCGCATAGGGTAGCAGCAGCACCCATTAGATAATGTTATATTACAAGGACGAGTCTGACCTTTTGCAGCGAGCTAGGGTTGCTGCAAAGCACAACACGAACTTCTGGCACACTGAAACTGAGACTGAAGCTCTATGGACGGATATTGCGGGGAACAGGTCGGGTAAATACAATTGGAGGATCTAAACGATGAGAAATGACGGGCTGATCGAAAGAAGGCAACAACGATGCGTCCAGATGGAATAGAGGCGGTGGTAGGGTTCTTCATCAGCTTGAAACTCGTGAGGTGTCGTGGAAACAATCTCCCAGAGCATTGAGCGACAGCTTCGTTGAAGAGCTGGAACACAGCTTGAACGAGATTCGGGGCGACAGGCTCCAGAGTATCAGACAAGCGGACCGCAAAACTTCCTGGTATTCGAGCAATCTACCGCATGACAGTGAAATGACTAGCCCAGACCATCTGGCGTTTTTTTCCGATCCCTTGGCCACTGATGGCGAAGTAAGTAGGACTCTCAAACATCTCACTCAACTGTTTCCATCATTGGCAAGACAGCTGACAGACTGTGGTGAAGTTCGAAGAGGTTGAAGACGGAGGAGAGTACGAAGATTCCCGTCACCAGTACATCGACCGGGACTGTACCATGGAGGAGGTGACTCTACTTCGTGAAATTGCTGCTCAATGGAAAAAAGACCAGTGGAAGGCCATCAGCACCAGATTCAATGGCATGACCGGTCGTAAAATCACCCCTGAACAGGCAAAGTCAGTTCTCGACAACCACCAAGGGTAAGCTTGCGGATGGGGGGTGTGGTAGAAAGGCAAAATTCTAAAATTTTGTGCAGTTCCAACATTCATCGGATGGAAAGTTCTCGCCCTGATGGCAACCGGGATCGGATAAGAACCAAGGCTAGACCGGTACGCTCGGTGGAATGGCAACTTCAAAGATGAGGACAAGCCATTGTCGCGGACTTGGCCGGTTGTGGTTCTTCCATCAATTGAACATCCAGGGTTCCTTCAATGAATACGCGTTGTTCGAAGTGTGTGACATCATTGACTCTCCCTCTGCTGCTATGTTATTAGCTGGCTCGGATCACATAAGGTATTACGTTGAGCCGTTTTCTTTTCGAGGGTTTTATCCAAGCAGCGGTAGACACAGTAGGTGGCAGCGATTATGTTGCGGATATCTCGGCAAAAAAGTCCATCAAAACTGAGTTGTAGAAATGCTTGTACGCCGTTTAACATATTTGTAGGTTTGGTTCGTCCTACCACTTGGTAGAGGACTGCTCTTGAGTATGACAGTATGAGAGACAGGGTCCAGGCCTCTCTCACTCACTAAACCACTTGGGGAACCAAAAACCCCTGTGGAGGTTTCACCCAGTAATGAGCCCCGAAGGCAGAAGTATCAAGGGCGATAGGGATCGCCGAAGCGTTTTGCCCCAATATCGTTAAACCAGGTACCGCGCGTGGGTCGCTGAAGCAAGTGAGACCTCGGATTGGGTGACAGACTGTGGCACAGTTGGGATTGCTCCATAGGGGCGCTGGCCCTGAGACGGAAACCTAGGTACCCTGCGTTACCTAAGGGGACTGATCGATGCCTTTACTGGGTGATGGCGAATTCTCCTCCGCGCCCCCGGGCCAAAGAGAGCCAAAACCAAACATTCGTTCGTCCATTCTCTACCAGTTCTTTCAGGAGGCGACCTTTGTCCGCTGAATTTATCGTTCTCTCGTCCTCTCGACTGTTCCAAGTGCCAACTACTCCACATTCTCTTTTATCGACTGACGTACGGGATCGGTCGACAGTCTTCGATTCCATTATTTATTGCATAACTGTCCCTCCTTCCGATCTCTCCTTACTCTTGTCGCTATTTTTATCCGGTATTGTTTTCGTCTATTCCCGTGCTTAAATTGAAGCAGTTTTGTGTTTATAACATCAATTAGTTTCATCACTTTCGTTCCCTCTTGACCTTTGAACAGCATATACATTCAAAATGCGTGTCAGCACCTTGCTCCCTCTCGCTCTTGCGGCCGGTACCGCTGTTGCCTCTAAGAATGGAACTTTGGGTTTCGCTCTCGGCAACAAGAACGCAGACGGCAAATGCAAAGTCCAGTCGGACTATGAGACCGATTTCGATACGTTGAAAGATGTGACCTCTCTCGTGCGCATCTACTCCGTGAGTGACTGCGACACCGCGAAGAATATCATCCCTGCGGCTAAGGCGAAGAACTTCAAAGTCGTCCTGGGTGTCTGGTATGGAAACCGCCCGCCACATTACATCCTCTTTACGTCAAGCGGCTAGGTTTCTAACATTTCCCCGTTTGGTAGGCCCGATTACGATAAGTCTTTCACCGACGACTTCAATGCCTTGAAAGAATCTGTCCCCGGAAACGAGGAGGTTATTGACGCCATCACCGTCGGCTCCGAAGTGCTCTACCGGAAGAGTCTCACCCCCCAGGCTCTGCTCGCCAGAATCCAGCAGGTCCAGAAGGAGTTCCCCAAGGTTACCGTTGGAATGGTGGACAGCTGGAACAAGTTTGCTGATGGCACGGCCGATCCCATCATTCAGGGTGGTGTCACTTATTTGTAAGCTCATTCTGCCTCCACTCTGTCTTGTCTCAAGAACTTGGCTGACTTCTGCATAGCCTGGCCAACGGCTTCGCCTACTGGCAGGGCCAGGAGCTGAGCAATGCCACCAACACATACTTTGATGACATGGCTCAGGCTCTGGGCCACATTGAGCAAGTTGCCGGCTCTAATGCAGACAAGATTCGCTTCGGCAACGGTGAGACCGGATGGCCCACAAGTAAGTTTTAAGCACATTTTGAATCACCTGGATTCACGCGGATATTGAATCTGACGCCTTGACAGCTGGTGGAAGCAACTACGGACCGGCCGTCGCCAGCACTGAGAATGCTGCTGATTACTACAAGTCTGCTGTTTGTGGCATTCTCGCATGGGGTGTTGATGTCTTCTACTTTGAGGCCTTCGATGAGTCCTGGAAGCCCGAGACCAAGGGCGACAACGGTGAGATGCAGGACGAAACGCACTGGGGTGCTTTCACTGCGGACCGTAAGGCCAAGTTCGATTTGACCTGCCCCAAGCACTAGGATCATATTTCCTAAGGTGAAAAGAATGGCGAGGATCCCAGGTGGACTTTATTCTTTGTATGATATTCCAGCCGGATATACCAGTTTTTAGAGATTTGAACAGCTATTGTCTTGAGTCAGAAGTGAATCTACTGAGTTGTCAAAGTACAATTCGGACGGTAGGATTAGGCCCAATTCCAGTCCCAATGTAGTCTTACCGTTGGATTTGGTACAACCCGAAATTAAGTACGTGTTATTTAATCAACAGTGAATTTTGGATTGACTCGGGTCATTCTGATCTGATGCATATTTCATGCACAATTTGATGAGTAAGCTGGTGTCATAATGAGCGACGGCGTAGAGCAACGGAGTCGTCAGAGTACGGAGGAAGCACCGAGTAAGAGAACCGTGGTTCGTAGCGTAGTTTTACCCCTGAATCAAAGACACGAACCACGAGGGCGCGTCGCCCGCAAAAGAGTAATAACAAACAATCATCTTATCAATTAATCGATGGAGAGTATGTTGATACTGAAAGGTAGATTGTTCTACTATCATGCTGCTCTGTCGCAGAAGATCAATACCCCGAGACGAAATACAAAGTGCTGAGTACAGTCACCAGATGGCGGTCAAAGCTACTCCGTACTGAGGTAACCAACGAGCCATTGAAGATGCACCCAGTGTAAACAATCAAGCACCAAATACGTAGCATCGGGGAGTACTCCAGAGTAATGAGGACATATCAATCCGCCAGGAATCTTTGGATGATAAAAAAAAAGAATACTCGGTTATCTGTAAAATACTGTAGACTTTAGATGATTACGGAAAACCCGGAGAACCCCTGCGACCTTCCTTTGAGTAATTCCTCCTCAACGGCCGTTGGCTCGAGGTTTGTTCACCCATGAGTTTCCTAGTCTCCTCCGTAGTCTGGCGTTTTTTAAGTTCTGCTTCTGCTGATCGTGACATGAACCAAGACGAAGGAGCCAAGACATCCTTCAGATTAATATTAAAAAAAAGGGCATCGCTTTTCTCCCCTTAGTCTACGCCGTCGTTAGTCTCGATTATCCTCCTCATCGTCCACCCTCGATCTGGCTCTCCTTTGTGTATGCGCCATGGTCCAAGATTTTCGCATCCCTTAGCTGTCTCTAATCATTCGTCCGTTCTTTCCTTCTCTACCTTCGTTAGGGTCAGCTTTTGAGTTTTCCATCATTGAAGACTCACCTCCCTGAAGGAATCTCTTGAGCACGTTCTCCATACAACGTCTAAGCCGCGGGAACGCCCGTTCCCTACAGCGCGCAGCTTGATTCGATTCCCGTAATTCAGGGTGAAGACCGATCGACGAGGTGGTTCTACGATTTCTTGTTATCTGATTTCCATGCTTCAACATTCTGGACGATAAGGAGAGCAGCAAGCAAGGGCTTGCTGCAGGTGTCGACACGGAAGGTGCGTGTTTCTTCTATCTGTTATGCAGATACAGTTCCTCAGGTCAAATTGTCCATTGATGGCATTGTGTTAGGCCGAACGCCATCGAGCGCCATGACCTTTCCTCCCAGTCATCGTCCTATGCGATTCAGCAGCTAATCAGTCGATTCTTCTTCTCTCAATAGATTTAGATCCGCTCGTTTCTTCCGCCAATTCGGCGTCTTGTCCGCCGCCGTTCATCGTGATACCCAACGACAATCCTGACGATTCGCATTCGACTGTTCCATTGGTACCATCCTACGCATCACCAGAAGTGTCGAATAGCTCGGCCTCCAGATCCCCTGGCCCGCAGCAACCCCCCAGGACCAACAGCGTCACCCCGAATCCCCCAGCGACTGCCCTCCCGACTCTTCCAAAATTGCGTGGGGCTTGGGAGTCATCTACATCGTCCCCGGATAACCGAGAGAAGGAGAGTAGTGTATATTATACAACTGCTTGGGGCTCACCTTATGCGGCACCCAGCCCGCGAAGGCTTTCTTGGTCATTAAGTCAGTTCGCGGGTATTGATCGCGCCTCTGGAGACAGCTCTCCAGCTTCGATGCGAAGTGGTATACACCACGATCCTGAGATAAATAATACGGACTTACTGAAGCCCCCTGCCGCGGAGACATCGGCGCGACATCTATACAGCAACCTTCTCAGTCGTTCTCCTGGACGAGACCTGCTCAGTAGGAAAGGAGGCAAATCCATCAAGGATTTTACGCAGGACTGGATCAACCAATATCTCTCAGGGCAACCACGAACGGAGCGAAGCAACTGGTTGAGCGACGACTCCGGTAGCGAGGCCCCCTCGTTCTTTACCGCGCAGAACCATTTTGCCGACGACGCTTCGGACGACTGGCTTGGTCTGGAGGAGGATAGGCGTGGCGAGGACCTGCTGAGAACCCCAACACTCGCCGACTTTGTGAGCCGACGAGCTCTCGCTGCCAACGGCGAGAATAGCCTGGGGCGTCAGAAACTCAAGGATTCCCTGCACAAACGAACTGACACGCTTCGACAAGAAGACTTTTGGGGGTTCGCATACGACAAGGATCCCCAGTCACTTACCATGACAGAAGTAAAGGATACGCCACATTCGACGGAGATGGAGACCGGTAAGGCGGCGTCGCCGACTGAGAAGCCGCTGCCTCCGCCGCCAGCAGACGCTGATAGCGAGCCCCAATCAATACCGCAACCCTCAGAGAGCTCATCCACTCCGGTACCAGTAAAAAAGCCAGCTCTGGACAAGGAGCTGCCTACGCCTACGCCAACGCCAACGCCCAGACCCAGGAAGAAAATCAACTGGCGCGGGAAGGCCTGCATTATTGCCATACCTGTCGATGACAAAAGGGGTACGGAGGAGTCTGGGTACCGTCTATTGTCAGTCGAAGACGTACAGCAGCGGT